GTGTCTCTCGTGGCGCTCCCACTACTGTCACCTCCCACGCCCATGCCCCCATCCCGAGAGACATCCACCTGCTCCCTCTGCATGTGTGGACCTNTTCCCATCGGATATTTTGCCACGACTTGCCTCGGTTACGGCACTCCTTGGACGGTGGTGCATGCACGCCCGTAACTCTCTTCTACTGGGCATCTTCAGCCTTGGAATGCATCTGCTCTAACGCTTGGCGCAATGGTGCACTCGGCCGCACGCATTTAACTATTTGATTTTTTTTGGTCATGGAATACATGGGGAGACGGTGTTGCCTGTCTTTCTTTTCTGTGGTACGCATAGAATACGTGCCCATCCGTGCATGCGTTGATTCTTCCCTCACGCCGAACTAGCCCCCGCAGGGCAGAGCAGTGATCTACACCATGAAGGCTGAGAAAGCAAGGAGCAGTTGTGGCAGGAGAAAAAAGTCAGCTTATTATTATAGCAGAGGTGCCTTTTTTCCTTCTCTCCCCTACGCAAATGTACCACAGCGGTGCGGGGGGCGGAGAGTGAGAAGAATAGTAAATTAAAAACATCAAAAAAAAAGGAAATGATGTGCGGCCGAGCCCCACTTCTCCCGCCTGTCCCCAGGCGCAGCGGGGGCGCGCGGTGTCAACGGAGCTTGTTGAACCCAATGTGCGCCGCATTCTCACGGAAGCACTGGCGGCAGACGTTGAGCTCGTACTTGCGGATGAGTGCCTTCTGGTTGGAGCAGATCACGCAGTGGCGCGCGCCCTTGCCCATGCCGATCTTCTGGCGGGAGCGCCATTGTTCGAGGTGGCCCATTGTTGCAGGTTGGTGTGGAGAGCTAAGCAAGTGGCACTGCGCCAGACACGGAAACGCAAGCAACGAAGGGAAGCGGCAAACAAACTTGCAAGGGAAAGACCAAACAAAGTAGAAGCCAAAAAAAAAAAACTTCCATCCGGCAGAAGGCACAAAGGAGAAAAAAAAAGAGCTAAAAGAAGCAGCTGTGTGTCCGGATGCGGCCCTCTCCCCCCTACTACTACAAACCACAAGAAGGAGGAGCCACTGTGTTAGTGCAGTCTGCGCCCAACATCCCCCCGCCTCGGAGAGGCCGCATCCATCGCGTGTGCACCCAAAGGCACGTCTACTCACAACGCACACGCCGCGGGAACCAAAATCCCGCTGTGAGGCGTCGAAGTGGCGGCTCTTACGGCCCGCCGCCAGCTTCCTGGCCCCACTCCGCGTGTGCGAGGGTCGTTGGGGACGAAGGCATAAGAAAGAGGTCAGAAAAAAAAAAGAGGGCCGTTCGCCCGTTGCCTTCCAACGTGGCCGCTTTGGAAACAAGGGCCATCTTAATGGACAAAAGAGACAAAGGCGTCCCAGCAAACTTCCTAACATCTGTCCCGCCGCAGCCGGTGGCACCCATTCGCCCCAAAAACCGCAAATAAGATGGCAGCAATGCCATCGACTCCATCGCACTCTGCGTGTCCGCCCGCACGCCCCCAAGGCAGCGGCACGTGTGCCGCTTGTGGGCGTGTGTGAGTGTGCGTCCAGCGCCCGGTGTTGCTTTTGCGGCGTGCCGCCCATTTTTATATTCATTTTCGTTTTCTACAAGTCCATCCAACAACTGTGCCTCACAGAAACTCCAGCGCACCACCTTACAGTATCCTTCATTTGCTTACGCTTTTCTTTACTTTCCGCCCTCCGCTGGGTGAAACCCGTCGGCCGTCGCTTCGCGTTATTCTCCTTCTCTCTATCTATCGCTCTCGGAGTCCACGCGCCCCCGCTGCCACCGCTGCGGGCCACTGGCCTTTAGCGGCTCTTTTCGAGCAGCCCCAACCAAATGGCGCGGTCCGCCATGAGCGAAACGGAGCTCTCTGCGAAGCCCTCCACAGGGTTGTAGGCCTCCCGCACCCACGGCGTCTCGCCGCTGGTCTTCAGCATAGAAGACCGCAGCCGGTAAAACAGCTCCGCCGCTGGCTCCCCGAGCAGGTCAACGTACTTCGTCCTTAGGGCGTGCGCCATGAGGACGTTCGCGCTGATCCAGACGTGGCCCATCCAACGGTTCGTCGTGGTGCTAGCC